GGGGAACAATGCAAAATGTGCTATGTAATTAAAACACGGAATTCATTTCCAGAGGATGCTGTGGTGGTCAAAGGCATGTAGAGATTAGAAAGGCAAGTGATAAATATTCACAAGAGTAGTCTACCAGTACCCATTACACACAGCCTTCAGATCAGGAAGTGGGGTGACAAGGAGGAATAAGGAAGCACTGCCTACCCTTATAGGCTCCTACCTCAATGATTTTTTGACTTACCCCGAGACACAATCCTGCGCTACAGGAAGGGCAGCCATGTGGCTTTACAGTCCACAACTCAACCATCTATTTCCCAAAGATAATTTTTACAGTTTTGGTTACTCAAAATTGTTGGGGCCAAATTTTTCATTTAAAAAAAGAAGGGGGGAAAAAAAAAAAGAAAAAAGGTAAAAGACATTCATACAAGAAACGTGTCAAAATACTGCCCCCCAAATTTACTGTCCCCACCACCAGTACTTTCAAACCAACAACTTCAGCTGAAGGTTTTGAATCAGCTCTGGTGAGATTTGGTCATCTTTTCATTTGATCTTTTTTTTCCCCACTGAGCAGAGCAAGTTTGCTACATAGAGCTCACGCACACAGACACACTTTTTGTTTGCTCAGTGCCTGCATTTCTCCAGTGCCTTCTAAAGTTGGAAGGCCGTAGGGTGGGGAGAGAACAGGGTGGAAAAGTGATAGTGGGGAGAGAAAAAAATCAAAATCTTGATGTGATGTTTTTTCCAAGACTTGCTGAGCTGAAGTTGATCTACTTTTTAGCCAGTGAAGCTGCTCCTGGTTTCCACACGTGCTGAGACACGCTGCCATCAGAAACACATCTCATAGCAGTTCTAGATTCTGATCAGGTCACTCGCTACCTCCACTTGCATAAATTATAAATGGTGAATTCCTTACTGTGAGGCTTGAATTCAGAAACTTATTCCTTTCAATCGACCAACTTTTCAAACGGCTCCCTCAAAGCTATCCAGTTTTCTAGCACTATTCTCAACAGTGCCACACAAAAGGGGGAGGAGAGGGGGTGTAAAACTTTAGGAAAACCTACTTTCTGTGACTGAAAACACAGCATGACCCTCAGCTGGAGGATGATATGCAGATATTGCTGCTAGATTGATTGCCATGGAGCCAACACAAAGCTCAAATTGTTTCAAGAGCTCACAAACAAGTCTTACATTCTTGACACTGGAATGCAGCAGATGGTTCAGGGAATAGTTGGAGGTGAAATGCCCGACAGAAAACCCGTGCCACTTACAATGCTGCATCGCTCAGGCTTCCCTGCTTTTCAGCAGGCTGCCAAACATCTCTTTTCAGCACTCATCAGTCAGCTAAGCAGCAAGGCTGTCAGACAAAGCAGCCCATTATTTATTTATTTATTTTTAAAGTGGAAGAGATAAGGTCTTACTGAGCTGATGTCTATCACTGCGCTACGATTTCTGTGTTAAGAGATGTGCTGGTTGCTGTGGGACTGATCTTTCCTGCCTCAGTCAGCGGTTCTGCATGAGCAGATGATTCTGTGTGCCTACAGTAAAGCTGTTCTCATGACCAACATTGCACTTGATGAATATTCTCAGTGTTCTCTATAGATCAAAGGGCGAGACCTTATAGTAGCACTGAGACATTACTACCACAGACCTGCAGTATTTCTTGTGGCTTGGACAACAAAGATGTCAAGTGTTTTGTAGATGCAGGATTACAAAATAAGCCTTCAGCATCTAAGAACGGAAACAGTGGCTGTATACCTGCATTTGCAGCGGCACATGAGTTTGCCAGAGCCGAAGGTCTGTAACAGGATCCCAGTACCTCTTTACTGCTTCCCTTGAAAATTAAGATACTTCTCTCACTTTAGTTTCAATTATATAAAGTATCCCATGGCTTACTTTCACAGCATCTTGCAGGAACCAAAAAGGAGAAGGGAAAGACAAGGTAAAGATGTAACCTGGTGTGAAATGCACAGTTGCCTCAAAGGTGTCCATAGGAAAATGTCTGGCAAGAAAATTAATTGCATGTTTCTTTTGAGGGTGGAGGTGGGGGCACAGTTCCTGCACTGAAATCTGATGATTCAGTTGAATCAGATGAACATTGCCAGTCCTGGCTTGCCTATGAAGCCCATCTTTGATACTAGGCCCATTTGAAATGCTTTGCAGGCTAAGGAGGAGGTTGTGAATGTCAGGACTCTGACTATGCTGAACAAATGAATACTCAGAGTAGCACCAAATTTAGCAGTAGCAGAAGGGATGAAGTACTCAAAACTCCTGGCCTCCTTGGTCACTTGTAAGGGCTCAAGACATCCAGTAATTACCATGTTTCCAGGTACTGGAGGGAAAGGCGAGTGCTTCTCTGCCTGTTGGGGCGCTGATAGGGAAAGTCTTGGTAACTCCAGGCTTCAGACACAGACAAAAGCCAGAGAGCACCTCTGCTTGCAGAGAGGGCTGGCCAGCAGGGTTGCTGCTTTGCTCCGACCTTCTTTGAGGTTACCCAGGAGAGAGGCATCAACTTCTTGGGAGGAAACCACACCAGCATATGCCTCTATCTTTCTGAGCACAACCAGGAGCAGCCCTCCCTTCCTAGGATTAGCACAGTACTGGCAACATGAACGCAAAAGCTTTGCTTTAGTGATCAGGCCACATAGCTTCTATCTTTCTGTCAGCAGTCTGTAAACAGAGTTTAAAGTGAAACTCATGCAAGGAAAGTTTCTTCTACTATTTTTATCCTGTGGGCAGACTAACAAGAAGGACTAGCAGCAGCAGTGCCACCAGTGGAGGAAGATGGACACTGCAGGGCTAAATCTCACCACTACTGGTGGCAAATACAAACCACCAAAGAAGCGAGGCAACGCAGCCCCCAGAAACCCTCTGTGTCACTTGCAAATTTCAGTGCTCAGACATACGAGGAGACATTCTGACAGGTAATACAAGGGACTTCAGCAGGCAAGAGGGAACGCAGAACTCTATGCATAGGAGGCTCTGTTCCTCAGCATCACCCGTGCGCCAGAAGGCCCTTATCCTGTTACTGAGATGGCTGGGGTGGGACCTCCAAAGGCAATTATGGGTCTGAACCAGGTAAACTCGCCATTTCAGTAGTAGTCTTCCCCTTATTGCCCATCCCTTACAGGAACTGCTCTGGAAGAAGAAGAATCTGCTTTTTCTGGAATGCAAGTGCATGATTAGGCACATCAGACACGATTAGGTATATCGCAGCCTTCATCCAACCTCAACACTCCCAGTGGTGTCTGCATTCAGTTTGTAGCAACAGATCTGCTGAAGAGATCCCGGTCTAATCACAAATCTGTTGCAGCACCCACAAGGAACACAAACTGAAAGACCTCCCCTTAAATCCTCTGAAAAACCAAAGTTTCCTACCTGGTTTCTTCAGTGGCCATGTAAAAAACATCATCTGGTGCATCAATCCAGTTCATCCTCCTCCTTTTCACTGGAGGCATGGATCCACCACGAATTAATCGGACTTTTGTTGGGTATGATTTCCCATTGAGCAGCAAGTTTCGGCTTGGTCCCTAACGTGATACATAAAAAAGTACAATTATGGACTGCAACAAACCTGCAGTAGCACGTGATAAGCACTCAAAGGAAAAGAGAATTAAAGTTTTCACATCAGTTATTGAGAGTTTATGGTAAATATTTCCCCTCTTGCCCATGATTGAACACAGAATTCACATAAAAGCAGTTGTCCACAAGCAGTAGAAGTTAAGCACCTTCAATATACAACAGGACAGCAATACTCCAGCGACAGGACAAATAATAAATAGAAGGCATTACCAATAATCTGTTGCTTGTGTCTGAAAGATGACATCAAGTTCACAAGATTGAGCATAAGACCTAGATTTCAGCTACTACCATGAATCTAGAACAACTCTATTGACTTCAGGGAAGAAATTCTAGCTACCCGGCAAATCAAATATAAAAATCAGAATTTACAGTTGTTCTAATGTACCAAACTTACCCATATCCTTTTTGTTCTAGGAAGGTTAATATTTATTGATATATTAAATATGTTGTTGACAACAAACCTAGAACTACAAAGCTTAGCAGCTTTCATCATAAAAGCCTTTTAGCGTTTAACACCACAGATTTCCCATATATCATACATTTGCTTTCCAAATCAACACAGATATTTTCCAGACCCACAGTAGTCCCCTTCCACTAAACTGGAAAAATATGAGCTGTTAAGAGAGGTGCAGATGCAAGGGAGCAAAGGATTAAACTTCTGAAATGCAGCTGTCCTTGATCATTTGAAGTCCAGTTCTGCTGCCCCTCTTCTTGCTGATTAGCACACTGAGAATGCCACTGAAATCAGTAACACCGGACAGTCAGGAAAGATGCAAAGTCAGGGCCCAGAAAATTCAATATGCATCAATTAAAGCTGGTCAGAAAATACCCCATTAGAAATTTTATTCTGGTATTTCACAGGACATCTTCTGAGGTCAGACCATCTCCTCATATGCACCCAGGCTTCCCCTTCTGCCCACAAAATGGGAAACTGAGCATGCACATGAGGGATGTGTGGCCTGGGAGATCCACCTCAAAAGGAAAGGTGGGGACATGAGGTACTCAAGTCCTTAAATGTCAGGTTACGGCAAAAGCTCAATGAAATTTTAATGCTTTGACTTAGAAAGGGAAGACTTCAGTCTTGTCAACCAAGGAAAAAAACACAACAAAACCCTGCGTCTATCTCATTTTTTTCTGAGGAGAAAACAAAAAATGATCGATGACTTTTTTTTTGACCAGCCTTAATCAACTGTGCCACCAAGATCTGCTTCTTGTAGAAAATTAGGGCTTTAGAGCTAAACAAACAAAATCCCACCTTTTAAAATTCCAAGCTCTTTAAAGCTGTTATATACAATTGCAATAACCATTTAATTTCTTAGTTGCCTAGCTCCATGTTATAAAAGACAACTTCGGCACCACAGCAGACCACTGAAATACTGCAAGAATCGCTTTTATATTTGAGGTTTATTAAGGAAAAGGTTTCAAATAAAACGCTTTTCTGTTGTTTTTTGACCCCCTCCAGATTTCTCCAAGAAAATCTTTTCATTAGTTTTGCGAAGATATTTTCTCCGCACGTGCTACATACACAGAACAACTCTGGAGGAAGCTCTTGGAAATACCTAGAAGGGGCAACCTGTGCTTCCAGGTTGCCTCTTCTCTACCTGCACAGAGTAATCGTTTCAAATGCTACATCCTGAAAGGTGAACCTTTAATTTTCAGTTCAGTAGCATGCTTTATCAAACAACCAGAAATCAAGGCAGTTCAAGGGGTTTCACCCTGAAACACCTAAAAAGTGTTAGGTCATCACAGATTTCTCCCACTGCACTGAGTTGGTTTATTCAGCAGACACAAACAAGTAGCCAGTCTCCTCAGTGACAAGAAATGAAGCTGGATTCAAGGAGGAATACAATTTACCACTTCATATCAGATGCTCCAGTAACAAACCAAATGAATGCTTCGTTATTACAAGCAGACTAGCATGCTCAAGTTATAGCCTACCCTCATGATACTGCACACTATCCGAGAGCATTATTAGATTTAATAATGCTTCTGATCACCATTCGGTGACCATCAGTCATACCTGCTGCTGACTGACCCATGTCAGAGTGACTCTACTGACACCAATATGTCATGGCAGTTCACCTAATGAGGAAAGCTCCACTTTATTAACACCGGAAGATCATTTTCGGG